TCATCATCTTTGTTTCTAATCATTTCTCTTTGTTTTTGAAGGTTTAAAAGAAAAACGAAAAAAAAAATCAGCAAAAAAAAAAAAAGAGATATACAAGTGAAAAAGGAAAAAAAAGAATCAGTGTTTCATTAAAAAAAAATAACCCATCACTCCATCAGTGATCGAATGGTGAAAGGGTGTTATTTTCTAGGCTTCGTTCTCCAGTTCGAAATCAGCTGATGGGGAGGGAAGTGTTACGTTTAGAGTGTTACTCTCTGGACCATTCAGTATCCACACCAGTTGCTCATGGACCCTGTGGGAATGTAGTCTGGGCCGAACGCACTGAGACTCCGGATTATAAAATAAAAAATAAAAAATAATAATAATAGACTTCAATACATTCAAGCAATCTCACCCACATCAATATTGTAGCATACGTTTAGCAAAGGAGAACCAAACGTGTGCATTTCAAAATCTCAAATTAGCCTGAAATGTTTAGCCCAACGGCCCCATCTCTTTGACTTTGTTTATATATTTTTGGAAAACTACAAAAAAAAAGCTCAATATTGTATAATTTCTTCTTTTAATACTTTTTTTTTTCATTTCCTTATAGTATTTACAAGATTTTGTGTTACTTTATTTACTTTTATTTTGGGTAAAGTTACAGATGTGGGTGGCCAGAGAGATGTAGATGCATGATCCGTATTTGATGATATATCTAATCGAAAGAAAAGCAATATAATTTTTTCAATGTGTTATTTATTGTGATACATATGTCGGCCTAAAGGTGAATCAATAAAATTGAATTGGTCGACATTTATAGATTGCAATCCAATTGCATATAATCCTTCAAATGAACATCTTCGAATGAAACCCAAAACAACGAATACCACTTTGAAATCAAAGGAAGATTCGCAGCGAAACATTCAGATCTCTCTCTCTCTCTCTCCCCGATGATTAATTAAATTGATAATCAAGAGATTGTATGGGACTAATTAATTATGATCGTAAACACAATGCAAAGCCAAAAAGATTAACTAACTAACACATACTCAATTTAGGTAGACCAACCAGTGAAACAGAGACGTAAAATGTAAATCCTGTTCCGAATTCGAATATCAAGTTAGAGAAAAAAGTGTAATTCTAATCATATGATTTGTTTCCGTTCTTTGGATTAGTTTGAGGTTCAACTCAAAATAACCGATTACCAAAAAATTAATAAAGGGGCAAATTTGATGCCACGACCACAGATTTCGGTGTCCACAAGATTTTGATTTTGATTTTTTTTTTCTGATTTGGTTTGATGTTGCTGTCTGAATGTCCGATCTCTGACCCTACATTGCCTTGAACAATTCTACAAAATGATTAATGCTTTTTACTTCATGACAATTTTCAGACATGTATAGCTTGTTAGAGCAAATGCTTGCTTAATTATTTTTTTATTATTATTAGTATTATCATTATTATTATTGTTAGAGCTCTTATATCATTTCTTACATTGTTTTGTTAATAATTTATGAAAAACTTTGTCTTATTAATTCTTTCGTATCTGAAATTACATGCCGGTCCTTTGCTATATATAAACACAATAAAGTAATTAATTTTCTATGAACACACGTTAGTTTTTTTTTTTTGGCAAATGATAATAATTCTGTAAGTTTTTAATGTACTCATTTTGTCATTTTTATGACATGTACACGTGTCAATGATGAGACTTATTGAGATGCACACGAGTGAGTTGCTGTTGTAAAACTTGCGACCCTCCACTTACCATTTGGAGTTTCCGCGGACCAATCAGACATGACGCGTGCTTCAATTTCATCTGTCTTCTCCTTGTTTAAAATTCATTTTCAATAATAATAATAATAATAATAATAATAATTAAGCAATTAGAGAATGCATACTAAACAAAAAAAATTCATGAACGACCGAAACTTTCATTATTTATACTTCTAGGGAAAAAATAAATAAACGCACGAACGCGATATGATCTTAAATTAAAGAGTAAGTTCATAAACTTGTAGTACATGCAATGTATATGGCCATTGAAAAGATCGAAAAAAGCGTGCGGATTTACAAGTTAAACGAACATAGTTATGCGTAAATCATATGGGGAGTTAATATTTAATTCGTATTAGTAATTTTTAAAAGTATCATGCAATGTATATACGCATGCATGGCAAATGAACATTGACATACCACGTGGGTTTTGTCCCACGGCCCATGTATGTATGTATGTATGTATGCATGTATGTATGTATGCATGCATGCATGCTAATTAGAAGGAAAAAAACAGCCTAATTAACATAAAATCCACATGGGCTTACCGTTTATTCCTGCATCCATTACCAAAACATTTGACTCTTATCATGGGTTTCACACTCCATTATATTTATTTTCGAATTAATTTTAAATCTATGTGAAAAAATCATTTTAAAAATACTATTTATGTATGGGAGTTATTAGGTCAACAACTGGTTTTGAATAAACATATAATCAGCAAATTTTCTCGTTGTAAACCCAAAAATATCATATTTACAATAATAAGTTGAGAATTACAATCTATATGAAAAACAGAATATAAATATATAGAGAAAATATTAAAAAATAGATATCATAATGAAAAACTATCACTTATATTATGTTGAACTAAAAATTTATAATAAAATGAATTCAATATATATTACTATACAAATATCAAGGACAATAACTGTTCAAATTATATTCTTAGATGTTGATGTAATGCAAAGAACAGACAACAAAATAAAAAGATTTTGGTTTCTTGATTACAAAACTGATACTTTTCCTGTAAATCCTCCTCATTTAATTATGTTTTTCAATTTAATGATACAAAGTAATGGCAGTAACAGAAATTAGCTTTTCTTGAGGGTCGGGTGGTGGAAAAAGAGAGATTCTCTTTGCTTATTTTGTTATTTAATATTAAAAAAATCATATAACATAATATCAACGGCTAGGATCTCGGGGTGGGATGAAATCTGGACCGTTGATGGAATAGGAAGAGTCAGACCGCGTCCATATGGGCGGCTAAAGGCCAATGTCCAACCTCTGTCCCCTTGCCCCTTCCTCTTCCGACATTGTCTCTTTCCTTCTCTCTCTCTCTCTCCCCACTAACTCCAAAGCAATTCATTTCCTTATATAACTCCAAAGTCCTCCATTTCATTCCCACAAGCAAGCTCCATTCGCATTTCAAGATCTGTTCTTTCAGACAAGAAGGAGAGGGAGAAGAAGGTTGAATCTCCATCTAATCTTGAACCGAACACAAGCAGAGAGTTACAGATTCTTCTTCCGAGAAAGAGAACTGATTCGGGCATGGCGTACGAGGAAGTTAACGGGCTAAACCTCAAGGACACAGAGCTGAGACTGGGATTGCCAGGGACAGAGGAAAACCTAGAGCAGGATGTTTCTTGCGTTAGAGGCAACAAGAGGCCATTTCAGAACAAAGACGATCAAGATCAAAACCAAGAATCTTCACCTCCTTCGAAGTAAGTTGAGATCTGGGTCTTGGCTAATTCCACCGAAAAAGTCAAATCCTCGATGGATCTCTCTTCCCATTTGTACTAACCCTCGAATCAAATCTTTTTTCTTCAGGACACAGATCGTGGGTTGGCCGCCGGTGAGATCTTACCGGAAGAACAACGTTCAATCGAGGAAGAACGAGGACAAGGGTCAAGGAATCTACGTAAAAGTGAGCATGGACGGGGCACCATACCTTCGCAAGATCGATCTAAAGATGTACAAAGATTATCCCGAGCTCCTCAACGCTCTGGAGAAAATGTTCAACTTCGCCATAGGTGAGAGAATGAATTTCGATCGATATATTTCTGAAATATCATATGATTTTGTTGTTGAAAAGCCGAGTTTTAAGATTCGAATTTACCGGTTATGAAATCTCAGGCGAGTATTCTGAGAGAGAAGGATACAAGGGATCTGGGTATGTGCCGACGTACGAAGACAAAGATGGAGACTGGATGCTCGTTGGCGATGTCCCGTGGGAAATGTTCTCTTCGTCTTGCAAGAGACTAAGAATCATGAAAGCCTCTGAAGCGAGAAGAGGCTTAGGCTGCTGCGTATGAACTATGAGAACATTACCCTTGGGTGAACAAGAACATGATCAAATCTCGAAGCCATCGGATTGTGATCTGTCGGCGAAATGATAGATACCCTTTTGATCCTGATCGGAGAAATGACCGGAAATTTGGTGTTCCGGTCAAGGAGAGCCATCGGGTTGCTCCGTTCTTTCGGAAAATTTAACCAGAAGAACGTGTATGTATAATACGGACACAGATATATATTGTAGGTGTATACTTCAAATCCTGTTCTGTAAGATCAGATTTGCGGTTCTTGGCCGACCGCAAATCATCATATACGAATATGAATTCGTATACGTTTTTGGAAATTTTTGGATATCTTTCCCATTTTTGCAATCCAAGTCTTTATTCTCTCTCAAATCATCTTTAGTAAGATATCAATTGCATTAAACTCAGATGGTGAACATCTTTCAATTAAAGGAATTATACAAAATGGTTATAGTTTGGGTGTGTTTGTATGTATGTATGTATGTATGTATGTATGTGACTAGATTCAGTTCACTGTATCTGTGGAGATGATAATTTCGACGTGGACTTATCCTCTGCCACGCCTCGTTGGTTGTGATCCCCCCTGCACGATTCCAAACATTGGGCATAATTTTGAAAATAATAACAATATAGGGGTGTTGATTGTATGGTCCATAAACTTTAGGGCGTAAAATAAATACCAAGCCGCGCATCAATTATCCCACCGAGAGGCTTCAAAGTACAGTCTTTTCGGAGCCCTAGAAATCCAGAGAGCCATGATTTCCGTCTTCGCAGAAGAATCGTCGCCGTCTACGCGATGGTCTCTTTCTGTGAATCACCCATGCCCGTTGCTGCTGAAAAATGATGGCGATTCTTCGTTTTGATGGTAGTGACTAACGGATTCTGTGTTCGACAAAAGCAATTTCAACGAATCTAGGTTCACCGAGTATCCCATCTCGAGAAATCCATGGCAATCAGAAAAATCAAGCGGAGTTTCATACGCAGAAGCCATGACTGTTAGAAGAGACACGACGGAGGCAGCACGAAACAGGGCGGTCACAGAAACGGCATTGTTGTCCGCGAATTTCGTGTCGGAAACCCGGACTTTGTCGAGAACTCAGATGTCGAACGGGCCTGAGAATGGAAGGGTAGTGATGGATTCTATGATAAGAGGATTGGGGATGGTGGGTTGGATGGGAATGGCATGGTTGAGAAAGCGCATACCAAGTGTTCGACGAAACGGCTGAGTTACGGTGGATGTATTCCGGCGATTGTACAAGAGTTGGATAGCATCGGGGAGGATCTGGGCATCAAGTAGAGGACGATCATACTGAAGGAGCAAACACGGTGGAGGAGAGCCATGTAAACTTTCAAGTGGTTCAAGAGCAAGGATAGTTGCGAATTGAACGTGATTCATTACAACAATATGCTTCGGATTCTCGGGAAATCATGTAAACGGGCAGAGTTGATAGGACGAAAGGGGTCGAGCCGATTAGTTCTACCTATGGAAAGATAGATCGGGCTGCATCTCAACGAAGTTGCAGTGGTCGTGTTCATTTGAGTACTTATGCTTAGAACATGATGGTCGATACATATGGTGAGGCAGGGAAAATAAAAGGGGCATCGAAGATGTTCTTGAGGGTGCAGAGAGAAGGGATTGTTCCGACGGCCGTGACTTTCAATACGATGATTCATATGTATGGGAACAATGGTCGATGACAAGTAAAATAAAGGAAAGAGGCTGGCCTTAAACCGGACCTTGCAAGTCATGGATGATAAGTAGGGCTGGCCGTGGGGGTCCGAAGTTCGGTAACCCAAGTTTTTGGCGAGTGTGAGATCGGGTCGGGTGTGGGTAGGCCGATTATTCGAGTTCGGGTTCGCCAGGCTATGAAATCTGAATCCGCAGGTATCTGAGCTGAGGGTAGAGGAGGTGAGGGCAAGGGCGAGGGGAGCCCCGCTGCTGCTCTCCACGGGTATCCAAAGCTCGGATACATGCTCCTCGTAAGGTCGAGATCGGATAACATAAAACTCAGAGAACAAGATCAAGATCAAGATCGGACATCTGAAAGAGAAACTCGGATATCTGACCGTGTCCACCCAGGACCACCCTTGATGCACGCATATATGCTTATATGCTTTGAGAAGTCATTATGGTTATGTTTGCAGAGGTTTCATTTCGCGCGGGAAAGATTAAGGAAGACGAAGACTTTTAAAACTGATCTTTCATCATATATTGATATTCATACACAAAGGTAAGGAGCTGCAAAATTAATCTACACAGGAAAAAAAAGGGGGAAAGATTTTAGATGGTATCATTGTGCCATGAGAGGACGATCTCATCAAGCTCTGAAATCAGTTCCGACCACCGTGCCTCATCCTCGTCTCCCTCCGCCACCTTCACCTCCCCCACCACTACCTCCGCCGTTATCTCCACAGCCTCCACCACCACCGCCGTCCTCCCCATCCCCAC